AGAACCGAATGTAAAAAATTGCAATATGCAGACGACATTTATCTGTATGTATCTTGTCCAACTATGGATATAGATGTATTTCATCGATGAGCAATGCTATCGAGGAGAGCAGAAGATGGTTATTGGACAATAACCTGAATTTATCACAGGATAAGTTTTCTGCAGCTATCTTTACCAGACACAGAAAAGAACATACTAGGAGACAAATAAGGATAGGATGTCAGGAGATACAAATAAAAGAAAATATTAAAGTTCTGGGCATCAATTTGGATAAGAAAATGATTTTTAAAAAGCATGTAGATGATATATTAAGCAAATGTGTGAAAAAGGATTAAATGTTCTCAGAAAAATAACAAGCATGAAATGGGGGGCTCACCCAGAAACTTGTCTCAATATATATAGAAGCTTAATAAGATCACAAATAGATTATGGTTACTTTATATATGGAGCACTCTCAACGAATATCCAAAAAAAGTTGGACAGGATTCAATACTCGGCGATAAGAACACGTTTGGGGGCATTTCGATCAACTCCAACGAATGCATTAATAGCTGAAGCAGGTGAACCTCCACTAAGCATTAGAAAGCAGATCCTATCAAATAGATTCTTAATAAAAAAAATATAATGGAGCATGTGATGATATACCGAAACAATTAGAAGTATTAGCGAGGCTACATTTTACCAATATATATTGGAGAAATAGACCAATCCCACCCTTGATAAATAGCTTTTATGAGCTGAAACCATACGAAGAGGATGTAATAATGAATAAAAAGTTGCCAATTTATCATCTTACGAATGAATACCACATCAACAAAATATTGCATAGTAATGGATATGGATTTAGCTCACTTGACACATTGAATGATACCGCAAAAAATAAAGAATAAGAATTTCAAAATGTGGCTAGAAGATGGCCAGGATATGTACACATTTACACAGACGGATCTAAAGCAGGGTACAATTGTGGTTGCGCTATATTTGTGCCATATCACAATTTTAGTAAGAGAATTAAGCTACCAAATTATGCGTCTAATACACACAGCAGAAATGGTGGCTATATACTGTGCTGTAAATTATGCGTGGGAGAAAAACATCACGAAAACAATTATATTTAGTGCAGCAAAGCATGTATATCAGGCGATAGCGAACCCAAATAGAAGATCCAAAACATGATAATAGAAATTATAAATAAATGAATGCAATAAATAATGGCATAAATTCTTTAATATTGACGTGGATCAGGGGGATTCAGGTATCACAGGAAATGAGATGCTGATACTCTTGCAAAAGAAGCTGGTCAAATTGGAGTACAATGTGAAAAAATACCTGCGTTGGAGCTGAAAATTTAATCAA